ATTTATAAAAGTGTATAAACATTTATTATTAAATGATTAATTTTTTTAAATAAACACTATTTTATAATTACCTAAAATTATTTAAGAAAACAGAAGATTTCATGCACGAATAAATTATGCACTTAAAAAGAATACCACAAACCGATAAAAACAAAATGATCTATATCATCCCTTATCATCCTATGTCTAAACCCACGATTTATTTAATTCTTTTAGTGATTTATTTTAATTTTTAATACTTTTGTATTAACTTTTTATATTTAAATATATTCATATTTAAAAATTATATAAGTCCATAAATATTTTTTTAAAAAGAACTAATTTTATTTTTGAATACGATTAAAAAATAAATTTAACTCATATATCACATCAATAACCATAGTGAATTATCACGTTAATATTAAGAATCACTATACTAACAGTGTAATGATCAATCAAATCCCCTATTTAAGGGAAGACACCCAAACCATCATCTCATCACATCAATTAGTCTGATTCTTGGATGGCTGATCACACTTGATATGGTAAGATTACCTCACAATCTCTTTTGATTTGTTGTCTCTTGCCATATCTACGCTACCTATGTGGACACAATCTGATAAGGTGTCACTTTCCTTGCTTGCACGGCCAGTGTGAACGGGCTCCACAACATTCTCCAACTGACGAGCTAAATCTGGTGGTCTTGGCAAGTCCGATACTTCATATTCAACCTCTTTGTCGGACACTTACACTAATGTCCCAAGCTCAACTCTTCTGTATGTGACATTCTTCCCCACCAAACCTAACGACGCCCTCGTCGTTCCACTCTGGCGATCCTAGGCTAGTTCACCTTAGATACTTCTTGATGCCTTGACTTATTGCGATCATCCCATAAGAACTGTTTACCTCGACTTCTGCCGCCATATAACTCCATGATCCTCGATAAAAACTCATATGAAATTTATTCTCGGAGTGAACCTCAAATATCATTTTATGATATTATTTTGAACCCGGAGAAAGGATTGAGAAATCCAATTTTTGAACAGATTGTTTAAGCGCACAATTACTCTGTTTTGACATGACATGATATGTCCAGAGGTTTGTGATGCTAGCTAGTATCTCCGCAGTAGGAGCAGTGAATGTAATAAGAATTTAAAGACACATTTAAAAAAAGGGCAAGTGTTTAAGGGCACAACGACTGAATTTGGTGTAACATTATGAAAATTCCTAGTCATCTTCTTCTACCTATGACTGCAAAAATCAAGGAGTTTCTTCCTCCCTTCAACAATCTCGTCAAAGAAATCATCAAGCTGAGCTGTAATGTTATCAGCTCCACATCTCAACACCCCAAAGCATCCTTTCATCTTCTCCACTGTTTCCCTCATCATCCCTTCCTCTCCACCTCCGCTCTCCATCTCCTCCCTCACCTCTTCCACCGCCGCCTTCGCCCTCCTATACTCATAAATCAGTATCCCATTCATCCCGTTTATCTCCTCCGCCAACCTCCGCTGCAACCTCGCCGTCGATATCATGAACGTCGATCCGAAAAACAAACACCCTTCGTTCCCTCCTCTCGAGAAACTCGATTCCGGCGGCCAGAAATACACCAGTCCGTACAGCAATATCATCAGCAGCAATGAACTCACGTTCCTCATTGCATACAACACTCCTCGAAAACCATTGAATCCGTTCAGCTTCGATTCTACTGATACTTTCTCGTCGAACCTTAACGAAAGCGGTTGGATCCTCGTTTGCATCAAACCTTTGTTTTCTTCTTCTAGTCCCACAGCTTCCCTTCGGCACCCTGAAATCCCTCGGATTATCTGTTTGTTTGTTTTTTTTTAACAAATATCAGATCATCAATTCAATGGTTTCAACAATTAAGAAAAAGAATAAATTATAAGTTTAGTACCTACGCTATTACTTATGTTCCATTTTAGTACCTAAACTTTATTTTTCAGACCATACCCATAACGTTTAGTTTAAGTTCTAATTTGGTACCTCACCATCGAAAAAATTAACAGAACTGCTAATATAATATTTTTCGTTTTAATTTACCTTATGATAACATGAAAACAATACCTAAACTAAAATTAGGTACGGTTTAAAAAAAAAATATTTGTGAAAACGAAACAAAAGTAATAGTGTAGGTACTAAACGTGTAGTTTACCCATTTGAAAACCAAAAAGGGGCTGATTTAATGATCTGTCTGGTGAGTTGTGGGCTAAGATGGCGATGAGTTTCAAGAGAAGAAGCGATGTTAAAAGCAGCAGAGTAATAGTTTTCGAGGCCCGAAAGACCTAGCTTAAGGACATGGCAAGCTTCCCAAAGCTTGGAACTTTCGTCCATGTACTCATCGAGCCACTTATCGCCGAATGGAAGGTGGAGTTTTTGGACAAGGAGAAGTAGGTGGGAATGGAAAGATCGAAGAAGGGAGAGAACCCTTTGAAGGAATTGGATTTACATGAAGTTGTTGGAGAGGTAAACACGTTCAAGCTCATCTATGCCACCACTCAGGAAGTTGTAGAACCCATTGACGGAGCTTGTGGAAGATGCCTCCATTTGTTAAGGAAGGTGAAGAGTTTTGAGAGTGAAAAACTGGGTGGGTGGAAAGGGATATAAAGAGGAGGAGGGATATTTAGAAGCTCAAGTTTCTAAGGTAGAAAAAGGACTGCTGGGAGCAATGAAAGGTGTTTCCTGTGGAGGGGAAAGGATGATTGGTAATTTGCCATTTTCATTGTTTAATGGGTAGAGAAATACAAATATATATTTAGGATTTATTGAGTTATTTTGGGATAAAAGTAATATTTTTAAATTTATTAAGTAATTTCAGTTATAAGTGAGAATATTATTTTTTAAAATATTGAATTCGATTAAATATTTTTGTGGAGTATATATGTTCTCAATAGTTAAAAAAATTAAAACATATATTATCATATAATAATCCTGAATTATTTTTAAAAAAGAAGTCTTAATTTTTTAGAAAATTTAAATTCAAATATATATTTACATGATGTGTGTTATTTTTTAAACATAATATTGAGAAAACGATAACTCCAAATATGAACTATAAATTAAACATGAACTCTTCTTTTAAAATAAGGAATAAAGTGTATGCCTAAATGATAATGCTCCCACGTGAATTTTTTTTCATGAATACCCTCCCCATTTCTACCTTCAATCATCCCATTTATGTAAGGTTTATCTATATTTTAGATCAAATTATAGCTTTAATCCTTTTAAATACTCAAATTTAAAATTTGATCCTCATTTATTAATTTGATCATTTAATCTTTTATTTTATATTATCACTACTTAATAATAAAGCTAAATATATTTCAATAATTTAATTAAAATAATTAATGGCATGAATTTCCTTAAATAATTATGATATTAAAAAGGACAAAGACCAAACTATGCTAAGTTAAAGTATAAATACTAAAGGGTTATTTGTTTACTTCAGAATGATTAAGCGCTGAATGATTCAGAGACTCTGTATGAATTAGCTCTGAATGTGACATGATGTTTGATAATGGCTCTGAATCATTCAGAATGTACTTCTGTGCTGAATCATTCATCACTGTTTTACTGAATCAGTCAGCATTGAATCATTCAGAGGTGCGAAACAAACGCACTGAATGTTGAACGGTTCAACATTCAACGCTGAATGATTCCATTAAGAGACAAACAAACATCTCCTAAATGCCAGAAATTCCAAGGGCAAAAATATAATGGAGTACAGATAGAATGCAAGTGGGGGGCATCTGAAATGGAATAGAAAGTGCATTGTTCAAGGATGATAGAGTAGGTGGGTTATGAAAAGTTTGACTGGGATTTCCTTCAAAGTGTAGAATAGAGATGGTTGTTTGATTTTCTTTCTCGGGCAACTGAATTTAGTCCTGCACTTGCATTCTATTGAAATTTGTGGGTTTTGGTTTTTACTATACATTTGATTTTTTTCAAAAGAATGGGGAAACAAAATGGAATCGTGGGTTTATATTTTATTCTTCCTAAAAGCAATGGGAATATATGTATTTTTAATTATTTGAACGGAGTAAGATAATAAAATAATGTGGGAAATGGATTTTGGAGAGCGGGACTAGTAAAGAGGATGTTGGTCTTTTGAGATTTTCATTGGAAAGTGATCAAGCTGAAGAAGCCAAATTTTAATTCATTGCATTGATTTAAACGTCCCATCCCTTCATTTTATCTTCCATCTAGAACTAGGAACTACCAGCACAGCCTTTAATTATGGAGATTATCATAAATATTAGATGATAATCCACTTATGCAAACTTTTATTACAACATGAAAACCTTCCCTTTGTCCCTTTCATTTCTACCAAAGTTATCAGGTATTAAACTGCCAAGGAGCTGCTTTGTTGGTGTTGATCGTTCGCTGCTACACGCACACGCATTTTTAGTAAATTTACCACTTTAAAATAAAAATATTAGCATTAATAATCGTAAATCATTTCATAATGAACGCTCATACCACTGCATATACAATGTTCAAACTCGGGATCTCAAGGGATAACGATCTCCTTAATCACTAAGGTCGTTTTTTTAAAAGACTAGAAAAGAGAAATAATTTAACGTCTTTAAAATCGATTAGGTATTTTATGTTTTCGGTGATTGAAAAATACAGTCTTTTAGTGCATTTTGAATTATTAAAATGAAAGTGTGATTAGATAGAAATAATTAGCAGTTGAAAGGAATTAAATCTAAAGGATTAAATTGTGAAACTTTGCGCTGGGTTTAAGCATTTATTTATGTACTTAGAGCAGGATGAGGAAGCAAATTAAATAGAGAGTTTAGAGATTGGAGTTTTTGCAATGATTACATCAAAATGATAGGTAAAAATGAAACACTCGTGTAGTAGGCAAAAAATATGAAAATTCTTTAGTTTCAACACTCATATCTACATATTAATCAATACCTAAGGAGTTGTGTTACTGAAGGAAGCACTAAAATGTTTAAAGAGAGAATTGCCAGAAGCAATGGTTTTTCCTGTCAGTGGTTTGCAATCGCAGTTTCATGTTTCCATCTCTAATAGTTTGGTCATGCTTTGACACTAATGACCATGTCTGGGAAATGCACTCTACATTCAAGCCATGTGTCGTGTTGACCGATTCGGTCATTCGCCTCAACCGAATCCAAGTTTGAGTGCATCATCAGCATATCATAGCGCACAAGTCATTCATCCTGGCCTGTGAAACGTTGGTGAAAGGAAACACCCTGGTGTTGCCATTATACAAACAAGTCAATGTCATCTCAGAGCTGCTCTTCATGATCTGCAATTATATGTCAAGGGATTTCAATTCTATTATTCTTGAATTCGAAGTTGAATACGGATCAGAAAGCAGAATTTAAACTTGGAATTAGATAGTAATTGCTTTGATGCTTTTGTCCACCCTCACAAGGACAGTAATCATCACAAAAAGAAGCAAAACAAGAATCAAATGTGTGTATGTATACCTCACATGTCTTTGGTCCATCATTGCAGCTCCACCTTTTGGAAGGGATACAGTCAATGAATCTACACCATCCACAATACTGATTCACATCAATGCCTAGGAATACTGCTACAAGGCATCCAGAAAGTCTGCAAATGAAACAAGACCCTTGTCTAAGACCGAACGTGTTTGTTAACAATGAACAAGAAAATCAATTCAGCTCGACATTTAGGTGGACAAAACTTACAGAAGAACAAACAGTACAAGAGAAGTGCTCCTCAGAATCAGCCTGTCGAGCCCCATCTTCTGCTCTACTTTAATGCTACTTTTGGCACGATTGACACCATATTCAAATAACCCTGATTTGTTTTTAGACATTTGCCTAACCTGTGGGGTAAGTAGAAGCATAAACCCAAGTAGAAGTCCAGATACAAAGGCTCCGATGTTCGCGAAATTGTCAATATAAGGTAGCAAACCAAGGAGGAAATTCATCACCATAACTGTAAAAAGAGTTGCTAGAGCTGCACACTACAATCAACCACAAATGGGGATTAGTGATTTACAAAGATCAGTTGGAGATAGATCATAGACATTAGTCTATACGAGGAAAAAGAGAGTTAAACACCTTGCTCGAGTAAACATTCCAGTTCCGGATTAGCCCCGAAAGCATCGTTCCAAGTAAACCAAACAACGCACCAGAGGAAGTAACCACAGGATTACTTCTAACAAAAAGTGAACATATCAAGCTACCAGAAAATGCAGAAAGCAGGTAGATAACCCCAATTCTCACTGTCAAGCAAAAGTGAAAAATTTTAGTGGATCAAATCAAAGTATGGGTAATTATGTGATGAGAACAGTTCACTTACAAGCTCCATAGTCTCTCTCTAAGTGGATGCCAATGAAGATCGTACAGCTGATATTGATTGCAAAATGTATGATCCCAGCATGTAACCAGGGGCAAACAAAGAAACGCCAATTTAGGGGGTTCTGAGCCAAAAATGCCCTTCGAAGTGCCCCAACTTTATCTAGCCTTCAACATTACAATCATGATTTCAGCACGAAAACTAAGGCCAATAAACTTAAATGGTTAGAAATGAAAAAGAAAAGGGTAGCTGAAGTTAAAATCTTTACATTACAGTAATCTGATTCAGAATAATAAATGACTAACAGCAATCAAAACCATTCTTTTTCTTAGAAAAATAAAAACTATAAGAAGAAAAGAAGAAAAATAACTGACGTGGAAGAAGAGGGGCCAAGCAGTGGATTCTCGGAGATAGGCTGAAAGAAAACACTGGGGAGGGAGAAGTAGTTGACGAGAGTGAATCTTGGTGTGCAGCTTATTGCCTAGGCTTTCCCCTTCCATTTGATCAAAGACTGAATCTTTTGCTGTAGACAATAAAAGAATTGAGCTTGGATCTTCTTGAAGCCACTTTGTCAACTAATAACTGCAAATTCAACAGTTTTTGTTTCGTAAATTTTCCTGTGTCTTGACAGTTGGCTTTGGAGGGAATATTTTGCCCACGTCAGATTCAATTTTCAATCTTGTTAATGTGGGTAAACAGCTGCTAACCTCTCAAAATTTGAGTGAATATATTGTTAGTTAGATTGAATAATCGGATTAAATTTCAGAAATTATTTTTTAAAAAATATTTTCTAAAGAAATTTAAAATATTGTAATTAACTCTTGACCAAAAAAAAAATCTTTTAGTTAACTAAATTTGAGACTTAATAAGACTAAACAGTGTTTTGAGAATTTTTTAAATATTTGAATATTTGAATTAAAAAAGATTTAATAAAATTTATTTAATTTTAATTTTAAAGTTAAAAATAATTAGAATATTGGTAAACTACATAAATGGTCACCGAACATTTAGGGAGCATGCATTTTAATCACCCAACTTTTAAAACTTGCTATACAATCACTGAACTTTTAGTTCATTTCAATAAGATCTCTGACGTTACCTCATGTTAGTTTTATCTGATGTGGCACGTCATCTCCCGTTAACCTTTCTTCTTCTTCTTCTTCTTCTTCTTGATCCCACCAACAAAAACCATGAAATTCACACTTTCTTCTTTAACAAGCCTAAAAGTTGGGTGACCAAAATGAACTAAAAGTTTCTTGTGGTCTTATTGTTTGTAGTTTTGTTCAAACAATTTAAACTGTTGTATTTACTATTTGTTTGGTCTGATATTAGAATACGTAACCCGTCAAATCCAGCAAGTGTCATATTGGCATGGAGATTTGAACCTCGCTTCCAACTCCAGTGTCTGATGGTGCAATACGACCAATAAACGGAATAACAGTTACCTCCATGTAAAAGTCACCTGATGCGAGCTGCTGAAGCAACAATCATGGGAACTCTACGACCACACCAAGCAAGTGGCTGGTAGTGTCGAGCAATGATCATAGCAATTGACTCTTCCCTTGTTCATATTGCTTCTTGCAAAGCACTCCAACCATGCTCATTTTGAAGACTCCAAAATATGCTTCACTCGCCATTAAAATCTCAGTTGATATTGGATCTCGCAAACGTACTGCTAAATGCAGTGGAGTCTCCCTACTTGAGACATCACGTCGATTGATGATTGCTGAGACAGCATCAGCCTGAAACTCGATTTCAAAAGATTCAGCTTCAGTATTAACCTCACCAGCCTTGGCAAGCTTAGCCTCACCAACCTTGGCAAGCTGAGGGAGAGTTAAGATAATGTGCCTAAGCCCAGCATAGTCACGTTGGGTAACTGCTAAATGGACATGACTAAGGGCATACTTGGAAAGATCCTCCATGGTACTATACTCTGTCCCTTAGTCTCTATCCTTAAGCTATGATTACCTCCATCATAAACCTAACACTAAAACATAAAATTTAACAGAACACCTACATCTCAAAATTCCTGAACATCTTTTAAGGGACTGTTTTTTTCCCTCGAAGGTTCCAAAACTGCCGAGATTAGGGCTTTTAGGCTTCACCATAAAACTTCAAAACTAACAACTATGAAATTAAATCGAAGCTATTAAAAAGCTCAGCGATGCTTTAATTGATTCACTATTTCCTAAACGTCTTTCATATTGCTAGTGTTAGTTATGTTAGAAAAAAATGTTAATAAGAGATAATAATAATAATAATAATAATAATAATAATAATAATAATAATAATAATAATAAATATTATTATATAATCGAACGAAGCAAAATAAATAAAGAATTAAAATAGAGGAACGTGATTTGTTTACTCGTATGTAGACACTGAATAGGATGAGTAGAGTAAGATAAATCGAAGAAGGATTTTTGTTGAGGCATGTATGAACAGTTTCCTTAAGACATATTAGTCCTCTCCTAGGTGCTTTGAGTAACATTGGACGTCGGTCTCCCAGGATACAACTACAAACGATCACAACAGTAAGCACAACCGTAGTGATCAGTCGAACATAATCTTGTATTTCTCTATCACCAGAAAGAACGAATTTGGAAGGAATTTTCTAAGTGTTTTCTAATTCAACACTGTGAATTGTGTCTTGTAACTTATGTTGTGTTGTGTCTTAGAATTGTGCCTCAAGTAACCTATATATAAGTGAGGGGATATGAATCAAAAGGTTAAGATCTTTTGATGAATAGTTAAAACATTTCATGAAAAGAATTTGTTGAAAAGTTAATAGGTATAATTGAATGGATGCAACTTTAAACTAAAAATTAGTCAATTCACCAAGTGACATGACATATTATAATAAGTCTATTCACCAAGTGATATAACTTATTATAAATAGCATCAATTTTATTCAATTAAACTATTATTTTTCCAACAATCCCCAACATGAATGAAATTGATGATTTCAAACACTGACTCGATATGGTGATAGATTTTACGTTTGATATTTGCATAGGATAGGTAGGTGTCCCCTTTTAAACCTTCCCTTGTGAAAATATGTTTACCTTACTGGTTGTCCAGTAGACGTGATGTCCTTGAACTTTCCTGATGTTGGTGTAAGCGATGACATACCTCACCAAAAATCTCACTGACAAGAATTTGGTTCTCATGGTTATGTCCATATAGCCGTGGACATCTCCTGGTTCTGCAAGAGTTTAGGGAACTATGCCCCAATATTCTCTTTGAAGCGACTCCACTTCACTCTCACATAGGTGACTTATGTTCTTTGGCTCACCGAAACACATAGTGGTCATTAAAATCATTGCTTAACCTTTTCCACATTTTAGTCACTGTTTTCATCATAGGAATGGACTTGGGATAATGACCCCTACAGTGACCTCATAAGGTCTATGCAAGTAGGTTGTCTCATTTAACCTAGATCTTGGGATCTCCAGTTAACTAGGTTGGGTTTTCCTTCACATAGCACTTTAAATATTAATGGGCTTTAGTCACATTCTTTTCGACGTTTATCAACTTGATCTCGATTCAACTCATTGTTTTGCGGATCCACAATGTTATCTTTTGATCTTACAAAATCAATATAGATAACTCTAGTTGAGATCAATTGTTTAATGGTATTATGTCAACGATGTATGTGTCTTGACTTACCATTATACTTATACAAGGCACCCCCACACTTTGATGTAGTTGTAGGAAAGTTTTCTACATTTCCATAACTCATACGGAGTCTCACCTATTTTCTTGTAAGTTACCTTATTAAAGGTAATTTTCTAATAAAATAGCTTTCTCCATATGTTCTGTGACAAATCAAAACATGGCCAAATGTCATTCATAATATGGTGTTTCTGACAATCCATTCTAGATGTAATTCTGACATAGAAACTTAGAATGGTTTCAAGCTTTAATGACAACAATGTTTATCTCATCCTCTCTATGAATAGGAGGATCATCCTATATTTGACCATATTCAACATGATTAATATAACATCTTATGTCACTATGTCTTGAAATTTTATCCATGAATTTCATATGCTTCTTGTTGTGGCTCACAACCACTGACATCGTTTTCAAAGTCTGAATAGGAATCAACATTTCAAATCGCGAGGTGAATCAGTGGGGTTGCCACTGTTTCGTTTCAAACACATAATCAGAATTTGTAAATATTCCAACTATAAATTGAAAGTTAATTCAATTTATTTTACCATTTGTTTCTGTTGAACAACAAAATTTAATTAGAAATTAAAATTCTAAAACAAATTTGTAACAATGTTGTTACCTCTAAACGATTCTGTTATCAACAGTAAATCAAATAATTTTGTTGAACACAGGATTAAAATCCTGAAAAAGAATTATAGGCCCGGTTTTTGTTCAAAGACATATCATAATTTTGTTTGGTACCTTATTTATCGCAACGAATTTTAGTCAAAACTAAAATCCAACAATTGATTAATTTCTGTTAAACTACAAGAATTTTGTAAAATTAAAATCCCGAAACAAAAATACACAATCAACAATTTTTTTGTAGAACCTATTAAATGTTAGGATTTAGTAAAACTAAAATCTGAAACAGAACCAATTTCTGTTATATGACGAGAATTTAATAAATTAATTCTCGAAAAAGATTAACTTTTGTTGAGTGGTGGGAATTTAATAAAACCTGAAATAGTAGTATAATCTCAATGTTCATATATTATAAAACAAATATTGAATGGTCACACATATCTTTTTTAATTCTTGATCAATATTATAAATTTGTTGCCAACCAATCTCGAACCATCAACATGTGGGTTCAAGGTGTTCCTCCATGAAAGTCAAAAGTGTGCTCCGATGCGGCTCAAGTTGGGCAACATAGGATGCAACCACAAAATACAAAACTTGGTGGACAACAAATCATTGTGTTCCACTCCACTAAGTTTCAAACAATCATTTGATAGAACAATTTCTATCTTTGATCGAAATTCACCAATTCACCGTTAGTTAAAAGAAAATTGCATCATTGTGTTCAAAGTTAATTCTCTTGAAAAATAATTATGATTTTCATGCAAGTAGGGTTGCGACTCCACTTGAGAATTTCAATGTTATGTCGATAGCAAATTGCCACAAAAAAATAATGAGCAACACATATAGATTACAATTCATCTCAAATTAGAATTATAAAATTAAATATAGAATATATCTTAAGATTGTTAGAAAAAAATGTTTGTCGACATTCGATTTTTCATCCCGTTATTGTTATTATATTATTATTATTATTATTTAATAGAATATATCTTAAGATTGTTAGAAAAAAATGTTTGTCGACATTCGATTTTTCATCCCGTTATTATTGTTATTATTATTATTATTATTATTATTATTTAAAAGTACTAACATAATATTTTTATTTTTATTTTTCAGATTCAAATACAACAGCCCAAGTTGGGCCATAATTACAAAGGGGTCATTTGACCCAAAACCCAAAACCCTAATTATAATCCGACCCAAACCCGAAGTCCATAAACAAGAGTGAAGCCCGCTTGGAAGCCTAGTTCTCTAGGGTTTCTTGTTTCATTGCCCAGCGTTGCATCATCCCAGCCGTTGGATTTGGGAGAGATCTAACGGACCAGATTAGTCACCATTAGGGTTTTATAACCCTCCAGGTACCGCCTCTTAGGAGAAACATCGGATCTGGACCCATCCAACGGTCCAGATCGAGCCTCTACCGACCGCCTATCTCCACCAATCGGTTGCCACAGTTGCTGCCACCAATCAGAGACCCTGTAGTGTCAGAAGCATAAATCAGAACAAATCAATTAAATTCACACGCAAAAACGTCTATTTTTAATCATTTTATAGAAAAATATGTAAAGTCAAGATTATATAACCCGAAACAAAATGTAACAGAGGTTCATCCCTTTTGGATTTGAAGTTTTGAAAAGAAAATAAAAGAAAAAAAAGGCCAAACTTGGGAAGGTATATTTTTGTGTTTTCGTTATCTTTCAGTTTTCGAATAAAAACTAAAAACCAAGCAACCCATCATTTCTTTCGAAGCCTTGTATGAAAAAAAATCCAAAGAAAAGGGGAGAATAGTTTATCTTAGTAGG